TAACAACAACAACAACATACATAAAAATCTACAGTAATCCTGACGCTTTAAGTTTGAGTCATTAGGATACTGTTCACCGTTGTCAAACATATCTAAAAAGACATCTGGAGTTTTAGGATTCCTTTTGCAACTAACTAAAGGGCTGACAAAAAAAAATGCCTTCAGTGAGATATATTTGTTATTGTTAACAACAAGGGACAAAAATATAGCTATGTCTGTATGTGACAAAATTGATGAAATTTTTTAGAAGCAGTAGGTAAGAAATCCTGATTTTTCTCTCCATAAGTGGTATTAAAATTAGCATACTCACAGACCCTGGGACAGATATAGGGGCATCATTTCTGTGGCAAGATAAGACCAAATTATGTTTTTATGTTTATAAACTCAAGTAACTTTGAATTCATGAAACACTTAACAAAACCTACTGTTGGTAGAAAACTAGCAACTTCATTTGAAAGCTACATCTCTTGAGCAGGGTTCTTGCATGAAGACCAGTCCAGACTCCCCAGAGAACACGCCTCCTCCTACACCAACGGCTCCATCAAGTGGATCACAGCACTCAGGGAAAATGACATCAGGATCCCTGGGGAATGGGAATGCAGCACAGGACTCGGCTAAAACCAAGCAAAGGAAAAGAAAAAAGGTTAGTGATTATTTTCTTTTGTTGGAGATGGAGGAAGTGTCTTTTCAGAGTAATGGTATATGTGTGCTGTTTTTCTAAATTCAGATTTTTAGACACAATCAGTTTCTACCAACTGTCCTTAATGACTTCAATGCAAACTACTGAATAAAGCAAGATATTTCTCTATCATTTTATTATTATGAAATACATCCAACATATAGAAGATTTGAAAAAAATTATAGATTGTGTACTCTCACCATCTAGACTCTACAATGACCATTTTACTGTATTTCTTTGTTAAATGTCTGTCCACCTACTCAGCCCATTATCAGGTTTTTGGTACATAGGGTAAATTGTAGCCATCGATACTAGTTACCTAAACATTATATGTACTTGTTTATGGTCCCTGGTTTTTATTTCTAGGTGTTATGGATAAAAAGTGTATGCTATGGACCACTCACTCACCAACTCAACAATAAAAATGGATAAATGGAATCAATCTTACAATGAGAGGTTACACAGCAATAAAGAGAAATAAATTACATTTATTCTGAAAATTTTAATTAGGAAGCACCGAAGCTATTTTTAGAAGTGCTGGCATTGCAACTATTAAATTCTTGGCTGCTAAATAAAAGTTCATCTGTTGGAACCCCTCCACTGCTCCATGGGGTAAAAGACCTGTTGATCTACCTGTAAACTCTGTGGAGAAGTTCTCTGTCTTACACAGTGACTGTGAGTCACAGTCAACTTAACAGCAGTTACAGGCTGTTTCCATTTTTGAGATAGTATAGACAAACATACTAGAAATATTTTGTGCAAATTTTTGACAAATGCTTTTTTTAATTTATTTTAGGTAATTGGCTAAGGAATGAAGCTGCTAGGTCATAAAATATTGTGTGTATTTCATATTTTAAGAAATTCTAATACTTTTCCCCAAAGGATTTTACTATTTTTATACTTCCCCAGCGATGTATGTAATATAGTTGCTTCATAGCCTCATTAGCATTAGCTATTGCCATTGTTTTTCATTTTTACTCTTCTAATATATTTTGAATCCATCACTCATCTCTTGACTGCTTTTTGATACTGTGGTGTCTTATGTATTGCAGTGATGCTGAAAGCTACAGCACCAATATTACAAATACCAGCAGGGTGTCATACCCATGGCTGACAGAGTTTTCAGGCTAGGAGAGACTTAAGAAAGAGGACTTAGTGGTCTACTTGTGAAAACAATTACTGGTAAAAAAACCCTGATGAATAGCTTCAGAATATCATTTGATGTAGTGCTGGAAGAAGAGCCTCTCAGGTTATAAAGGACTCAAAGTATAACTGGGAACTGTGGACTCCTAAATTAGAGTTGACCTTAATGATGTGTTTAGAGTAAAGCAATTGGGCCTTTATTTACTAATATTATGTGATTCAAAAGAAGAAGAAAGAGTTGCAAACGTAAGTAATTGGGATGTAGAATGTAAGATGTATGAATATTGAGGGTATTGGTGAGTTAAAATGGAACCATTGAATTGATTCAAGGCATGGGGACCTTGCATTGGGTTTCTGAAGCTACAAAGTACAAGAGGAGACTGCCTATCTTTCTTCTAAGGAGCAGCTGGTGGATTCAGACCAAGGGAACAGCGTAGCCTTTGGGTGAGTGGTGCAGCTCCCATGCACTACGCCACAAGAACTCCCTAAATTCTTGTTAGTGCTCTTAAAAAAATCAAAACCCAAAACTTTGTATTTATTGTTTTATCTTAACTGAGAGAAAGAAGTTAAAATCTTTAATTCTGATTTGAGGAAAGTGGCTGTCTTTTTTAATGTTTTTAATATTTTTAGGTTTTTTTCTTAATGCATTTTTAATCTCTGTCATAATGTACGTGTGTGTTATTATTGTTATATCTTCCTGATTAATTTATACTCTTATTTTAATGGAATATCTCTTTTCCACTGGTAGCAATGATCATATTTTAGCTTTCTTATGTTTACTGTTTATATGACATATCTTTTCCCTATTTACTTTCAGTATAGGTGTTTCTCCAGATTTAAAGTACGTCTTTTATAGACACCAAATATTTGGATTCTGGGTTTTTTTTTTTAATCCAGTAACAGTTAATATGTTTATTAAGCACATTGATTGGGTTTAGGACTAAAATTCGGTAATTTATTTTCTCCTTGTTTCCTCTGATTTGTGTCTCTCCTTTTCCTGTCTTCAGTGTTTTACCTGCATTGTTTTTTTTAAGAATTCCTTTTCAATCCACGTACTAGTTTCATAGCTATTCTTTAAGGTGTTATTTTAAAAATTTTTTTTGTAATTATACTAGGATATTTAAGGATATACATCTTTAAATTTTAAGTCTGCTTAATGTGAAATTGTACTGCTTTACTCATATTAACTGTAGGGTCATATTTGTATAAATCTATCTACCCTATTCTTTGGAAGCAGGAGTGGCATCCACTTTCAAAACAACATGCCTCAGAAAACTCTGTGAACTTTGATAAATGACGATCGTTATAGAAAGGTGTTTTGTTCATAAGGTCGCTATGAGTCGTGCTCAACTCAATGGCAATCAACAACAACAATACACCTCATTCTTGCCCTTCATGCTGTAGTTTTGTGTATATTGTATCTACATGTATTTAAACCAAAATACTGTAATCTTTGTCTTAAATAACCAGATGTGTTTCAGTAGAACTAAGATTTTTAAAAATAGACTCTTTTCTATTTCATAATCCTTCATTTCTTCTTGATGATGTTTTCCTTCTGGTATTCTTTTCTTTCTGCCTACTGCTACATTTCATTTGGTATTTTGTTTGTTTGTTTGTTTGTTTTTTGTTTTTTAGGGTTGTGTTTTTTTTTTTAGCTTCAGTCACTGTTGGGTTTTTTTGAAAATTTTTTTTTGTTATTTTAATGAAAATTTACATAAAGGTTGGGTTTTCAGTCATTCATTGTTACACATTTTCCTCACTCCTCAGTACTGGTCTACTTGGTAAGGCCACTCTTGTTCTAGATTGTTAATTGTCATGTACATAATGCCTAATCATACATTTCTCTCACACAGGCCTTCCCATCATCTGTTCCAGTGCAGTGGTTATTATATACACTCTTTTCCTTTTCTCCCCACAACTCCCTGTGTCAGTCCTGTTTTATTAGAGGTTTTATGCAGTATTTTGCCTTTTGTGACTGAGATTTTTAATTCAGCATGTCTTCCAGGCTCATCCATGTTGTGTAGTGTTATCAAATCTCTATGAACATCAGAAAACTTCCCCAACAGAATGAAAGGAAGTTCACATACTGGAAAAAAATATTTGGCAATGGCATCTGATAAAGGACTCATATCTGAAATTTACAGATCACTCTGGCACCTCAACCTTGGTAAACAACCCAGTCACAAAATAGGCACAAGAATAGACACTTTACCAAAGAAGAAATTCACCTGGCCAGCAAACACATGAAGAAATATTCAAGATTCCTACCTATCAGAGAGATTCAAATCAAAACAACTGTGAGATATCACCTCACCCAAAAAGCAATAAATGAAGTACGACAGGGCAGCAAACAACAAATGCTGGTGACGGTGTGGACAGATTGGAACTCTTACTCACTACTGGTAGAAATGTACAACCACTCTGGAAGGCGGTCTGGTGCTTTCTCAAAAAGGTGGAACTAGAAATACCATTTGATCCAGCTATCATACTATTAGGAAAATACCCTTAAGAAACCAGAGCCGCAAATGAAAGAGATGTATGCACACTCAGTTTATTGCTACATTATTCAAAATAGCAAAAACATGGAAGCAGCCTAACTGCCCTTCAAAAAAATGAATGGATAGAAAAACTGCTGTACATCCACACAATGGAATATTTTACTCAGCATTGGGAAAAAAAAAGTTTAGTATTTCTTGTAGTTCAAATCAGCTGCTAAAGGGTTCTTTCGATTTTCAATTTTAGGGAATGTCTTTACTTTCCTACAGTCTTGGATAATACTGGACATAGAATTACAGGTTGACAACTTCCTTTTATAGACCTTTAATTCTACTAATTTCTAGCTTTTGTAACTCCTGATGGTAGGTCCTTTGATTTTGTATGATAATTTCCCCATATAGGTTATGTAACTGACTCTCCTTAGATCACTTTCCGGATTTTATCTTTATTTCATTTGACTTTTACAGAGTTACTGAATATGTGCGTTTCCCCTCAAATTTGGCAGGGATTCTAGCAGATATTTCTTCAGTTTTTTTCTGCATCATTCTCTCTTTGGTAATTCTCTTTGGAACTCCACTAGTGACTTAGTGACTTAGTACTTAGTGACTTTGATGCCATCTTACAGGTACCAGAAGTTCTGTTCAGTTTCTCTTTCAATCTTTTCTATTGATCAGATTGGATAACTTTTAATTGATTCTTTTTATGGTCACCGACATTTCTGTCAGCTGAAATATTTTGCCCTTATCGTTTAGTCAATCTTAATTAATGATATTTTACAGTTTTAAATTTCCATTTGGGTTCTTTTTAGTAGGATTTTTTAAATTGTGATTTCAGTGAAAATTTACAGAAAGGCTAGGTTTTTACTCATTCGCTGCTGTACATTTTCCTCGCTCCCTCTGCTCCAGCTCACTTTGTAACGCATGTCTTGTCCCAAGTTGTTCATTGTCATACCTCTGGGGTCTAATCATTCATTGATTTCAGATAGTCCTTCTCTTCACCTATTCCAGTGTAATGTTCAGTCCTTTCCTGCTCTCCCTACTTCCTGTGTCCATCCAGTATCTGCTTTTTATTTGACCCTCTTTTACAAATATGTTTTCTTTTATGTCCTTGATCATAGTTAAGAATAGATACTATACAGAGGGGTGCGGATGGGTGGGGAGGGGGGTGATAATCATGGGGTCACACAATTTGATGGGAGGGCTGAAGGAAATGGGAAAGATCTTGTGTGGAAAAACCAATGTATTCTAACTTTGTAAATAAATCAGTATAAAATTTAAAATAAAACAAAACCCCCTCGAGGCAGGTTCACTGTACATTGGAATTAA